CCTGCCAGGATATGCACGTTTTCTGTGTGGGGGACACAGTCGAACACTTAAGCATTAGGCTGTCAGCCTGGATAAAAAAGGATTTGGATTCCATGAAAGGCACCCCATCAACACCCACGGAAGCCCATGGGGCAGGGCCAGGGTTTGCAGCCACTCTCATGCCTGTCACAGGGTGTAGCTCACCTCTCCACTCTGTGTCTGGGCCGGCCTCGTCTGCTGCTTTCACCAAGAGAATGCAGCGGGAGCAAAGTCGTGCAGCCTCAGAGCTTGGACCTTCAGCCTCGCAGCTTCCACCTCATCCTCTCAGAACACCTGTGGCCACCGTGGGCTGAAGAAGCCCAGGATGAAAGACCACGTGGAGGGAGAGAGCCCCAGGTGTCCTAGATGAGCTCACCCCCAGCTGACCCACCTGTTGACTGCATACAGGCAAGACCTGCTAACAACACCCCAGTCAACCCACAGGATTGTGAAATCACAAGCCAGTGTTGCTTTAAGGCACTGAGGTGTGGGGTGGTTTGTTAGCAACCATAAATAAGTGGTACAGAGCTCAGGTAACACAGCTTGCTAACTGTATAGCTGAGGAACTAGAGGTAAAGTGATTTATTAGGTCCTTAAAGGCAGAATTAAGATAGAACCCCACAGGCCGGCACAGTGGGTCATGCCTATAATCTCAGCACTTTGGGAGGCCAAGGCAAATGGATCACCTGAGGTCAGGAGTTCGAGACCAGCCTGGTCAACATGCTGAAACCCCGTCTTGACTAAAAATACAAAAAATTAGCTGGGTATGGTGGCAGGCACCTGTAATCCCAGCTACTCCAGAGGCTGAGGCAGGAGAATCACTTGAACCTGGGAGGCAGAGGTTGCAGTGAGCCAAGATGGCGCCACTGCATTCCAGCCTGGGTGACAGAGCGAGATTCTGTCTCAGAAAAAAAAAAAAAAAAAAAGATAAAGCCCCACAATAAAACCAGTGGCTTCTTTAGCACAGATTCTGGGTCTTGGTACAGACAGAACAATGTCTGTGCTAAAGAAGCCACTGGGAATTGTGGGGTCGGCATCCACTGTGCCCTGAAAGGATGGGTAGCCAGCAGGAACCAGAGCCAGGTAGGGGGGGAGAATGTTCCAGCTCGAGGCTACAGGGTCAGCCCCTCCCCATTCCCTGACTTAGCAAAGTACCCAGGCGACCTCCAGGTGAGTGTATGGGGGGGGCGTTGAGGGGTGACAGGAAAAGAGCCTGTCTAAATGTGTTAGGGGCCCTTCCACCTTATGTGTGGCCTGAGCTTAGAGGTTAACAAATGGAAGAAACATCAGAGAGCAGCCTGAGGGCCTCCTGATGGCCTGAGCTTCCACTGAGAGGCTGCAGAAGTGGAGTGGTGCTCCACAGCTGTCCCCTTGTTGAGGGAAGGGGGTCCTCCAAAGCCCCATATCTGCCATAGCCACCACCCTGGGCTGCTTAGCCAGCGAAGCCAGACAGGCCTTAGGTGGAGGAAGGGGGATGGATAGGGGACACTCAATGATAAGGGAAGGAAAGGGGGAAGGAAAAAGGGAAAAGGGAGAAAGAAAAAAAACCCAGGGAGGGCTCCTGAAGCATCCCTCCTCCCCCAGACCTCGGTGGATCTGCTTGATGCCCGCCAGCTAAGGAGGAGGAGGATGAAGGGTCATGTGTGGGGCTTGGAGCAGCCACCCGTCCTCTCCAGTCCATGCCTGGTCCTTCTCTCTGGGCCATGGCAGAAGGTCCTCCCCCAGCTCTGACCACTCCAACCACTCGTCTCTCACTGTGTCCCAGGATGGTGGAGGCAAGTCCTCAAAACTCAAATCTAGCACTCCCGCTCTTACAAAAATGTGACGTCCTCTTGGCCTCTGCAAGCCATTTGCACAGCACATTTTAGATGTTTTTCCCCCAGAATTGGGGACACCTGTACTATCATGTAGTGTTTTTCTTTTAAATGACTCACTTTTTGACTTAAATAAATGTATTGAAGTCATTCTAAGCAATAATACCCATGACATTGTGGGTTTGATGTGCTGTTTATAGTTTTCTCCAATGTGCATTAAAATAATTACATAACTGAGAAATGTAAATGTTTCTTGTGTGCCACTTAAAACCATCCCACTGACTGTACTTCACTCTGAAACCGTATTGAGAGCACACCAGTCAGAATACTTGAGTCGCAAGAAACAGGAACTGAGTCTCTGATTATCGTAAGTAAAAAGAGATGTTATAGAAGGCTGAGGGGGGTGGGGGAGGCTGTAGTCTCACAGGAGAGGGAAGAAGGCAGAGGTCCAGGCTCACAAAGGACAAGGCCAGCAGGTCTGGCCAGGTGTGGAGGGACCTCAGAGACTGGACTGCAGCCCACCGGGGTGCAGGAACTAGATGAATGATAGGCGGGCATTTTCTGTCTCTACATCACTCTGCAATTCAAATTCCAGCAAGGGAATTCCCATCAGCCTGCTTGGATCCCATGCCCACCCCTTGGATGTGATTATGGAATGGATTCTGCCCCATCAAAAAACTGCTGTTCAAAAATCAAAGACTGCATGTTCTCACTCATAGGCGGGTGTTGAACAATGAGAATACATGGACACGGGGAGTGGGAAACATCACATACTGGGGTCTGTGGGGGGAATTAGGGGAGGGACAGTGGGGGGTGGGGAGTTGGGGAGGGATAATACAGGGAGAAATGCCAGATATAGGTGATGGGGAGGAAGGCAACAAATCACATTGCCATGTATGTACCTAGGCAACAATCTTGCATGTTCTTCACATGTACCCCAGAACCTAAAATGTGATTATATATATATATATATATATATATATAAAAAATAAATAAAAATAAAAAAACAGCTTTTTCACATGGGTGACTCCTGGAAGAGATGGCCTCACTGAACTCCATCAAACATTTAAGAAAGAAATAACACGAATTTTATAGAATCTCTCTCATGAAGTAAAGAGGAAACATTTCCCAATTTATGAACTGTGTTACTCCATTCTCACACTATTATAAAGAAACAACTGAGACTGGATAATTTATAAAGGAAGGAGGTGTCATTGAGTCACAGTTCCACATGGCTTGGGAGGCCTCAGGAAACTTACAAAAAAAAAAAAAAAAACACAAAAAAGAAAAGAGGACTCGTTTCCTCTTGACTGAAAATAGCCTCTGTAACAATGTTCACGGATAGAGTAGTTCACAACTTCACATGGAAGATGGAAATAATTTTGTGTCTATTGGGCAAATTTGGTTCTTTTGGGGGATTTTCATGTTCATTTATTTCATGTTGGAGCTTCTTAGAAGGAAGGATAAGCAATAGAGGAAATTAATAGCATTATAATTTTCTAGATTTTAAAAATACTATTCAAACACATGAGAAATGCTGTCATCATCACAATCTACTGATTACCTGAACCCAAAAGAAAGTCCTTCTGGTTCATTCAAAGACCAGTTGGACTCCTCCTGCTTTGACTCGAAAGCTCAGAGCCAAATTTTGGCCCGCTGCTGATGTGTGGTTTTTAACCTTGTTTTTAGATAGCCATACTTGTTTTTTATTTTTTACATCACTACTTCCAAAACTCTACCCACTTTCTCTTATGCAATGTATTTTGCTTTTGGAATCTCAAAAGCTACCTTAAATATGATACAAAACAAGCTGAGCAATGTAGTGATGATAATGATGATGGTGATGAAGATGATAATTTGCATACAGAGACCCAACAGGATGAAATGGGTCAGTTTTGGTCAAAGCTCCGTAAGAGTCAATAGATGTCAAGGACTCCCACATTTCACAGGGTGGTATAGACCCCTCATACAAGACTTGCAAATTCACTGCAGTCTTGACCTCCTGGGCTGAAGCAATCCTTCTTCCTCAGCCTCCCAAGTAGCTGGAACCAGAGGTGCACATCACCATGCCTGGCTAATCTTTAAAAAATTTTTTGTAGACAAGGGGTAGCATTATGTTGCTCAGGCTGGTCTCAAACTCCTAAGCTCAAGTGATCCTCCAGCCTCAGCCTCCCAAAGTGGAAATATGTGGGTTGTTTTGTTTGTTTTTATGAGTCCTCAGGATTCCTACTTTTTCAATACGACAGTTCCACAAACTCACATCTTAACAAACAGATCTTAACCATCACAGAACTAATTCTTCACACAACACTGGTCACTGGGTCCACAGAAGCAAGTCTACATGATTTCCGTAAGAAAGCCTATCACTGAACTAATGGAAGCATTTCCTTGAGAGTGGACCATAGAATTATTCTAACTTTAGCAAATTCTACTCCATCCAGAAACCTGGAGTCCCCCTAGGCATCTTTGGATTTTGTTGTCTTGATGTGGAAGCTTTCTGGCTTTTCTCTTGTTCTACGTTCGGCTAACACTGGTCTTTTGAGGTTCTAAGGACAGGACAGCTGCTTCCCCTTTCTCATAAAACGTGCTGACAGAGGCCACTGCCCAGGGGCTGTCAGGTAGGTGTGGAGTTTGAATAGGGAATGGTAAGAAAGAAAATGGAATATAGAATGGTGGTGGGCCCGGCAGCAGGGAAATCCAGCATGTAAACATGAGGAAAGTGTGAAAGAGCCTGACTAGTAATCAAGCCAGAAATAAAGTGGTGAGGGCCTTGCCTGACTTCTTTATAGGCAGGGAGGTTAAACAGCCCTGCTCCTCCATGAAATGTGGTAGCTAAATGTGGCGCTCTCAGGGGGAGCCAACCCACTTTACCTAATTGCCAAACACTTCAAGATTGGGTCTTTCTACGTCTTCTTAATGATAGGTTGTAATGAATGTTCAATACATTAACTGATGTGGTAGGAAGAACGGGATTGTGCAATTTAAAGCGAGTGGGACGAAACTCTACCAGATCAATGCACTCTCAGCTAAATGTTTTTATTATAATTACAGGAAAACTAACAGATTAAAGTAATTGATTCAAAATAAGAAACTATTTCTTAGTTTCCTGAGGTTATGGCTTTTAGAACACTGTCTTTTCTGAAAATCAAAACACAGCAAATGAGATTGTTTTTTCCTCCACTGTTTAATTATTTTTCCTTCACCTCTGGGATCATCATGCCTGACAGCTAGAAAATGAGAGATCAAGGCATCCTAGGGCTCCTTATTAATTCTACACACCAAAATTTTCCAAATAACCCTGTGTGACATACAGCTGACCATAAATATTTTAGTCTGGGAAATGTATATACTTAATGTTAAATTTATGGCTTAGGAATAAGCTGGCTCTCCACTCCTTATGCTTTTTTTCCCAGAAATTCCTAAAGATAGATGTTGCAGAAGGATTTTTTAGAAAGAAATATTTGTGAACAAGTTATCAACCCAAGAAAGAAATGGCCAAAAGGTTTGAGCATATACCAGTGACCAAATCAGTTTCCCATATTTGGAAATTTCCCCCATAGGAGAGCAGAGTCCACAACCTGCTGGAGATGCCAAAGGGGAGCCAACGCTACATTCCCGGACTCTTCTGCACCCAGGCCCGGCCTGTGCCCTCCGTCTGGCTAGTGAGCCATGCAGGGACGGGGGCAGACGAGAATCCAGTCTGACAGCGGCAGCAGTGGCAGCTGAGCGTCCGTGCTGCAGTGCCTCTGCTTCCACTGTTCTCCAGACCTGGCTTGCCTGCCTTCCTAGTGATTCCCAGAGTTGTCCAGAAATTCTCCTTCTACTTAGTCAGCATGAGTCAGTTTCTGTTGCATGCAACGAAGAATCCTGATTTGGACAGTATTAAACTGTGATTCACACAGTGGAGAGAGACTGTGCTTAAATAAGATGCCAGGCCTCAAATGTGCCTCAGTTTCCTGACTAAAATATGGAGCTGCTAACACTAGCTCTGTTTCACTGAATTCTTGAAAAAAAAAAAAACTGTAAAAATCCCAAATCCTTTGGAATTGTTAAGTGACATGGACAAAACAAGGGTGCGTACATGTTTTTGAACCAGCTTATTTTACTAAAAGAAATGCAAATTTCAACGTCAGAGAAGAAAAATAAATTCCATGCAGAACTGCTGTTCCATGTCCATGTTCCAGTCTCTCCAGGCAGTAGGTGGGAATCCAGCCTACACGACAGCCTGTTTGAATTTTTCTGCTCCCAGGAGCTACCTGGAAGCAAAAAAAGAGTTTATTCACAAACTCACCAATGCCATCTAAGGTTTTGAAAAGCATTCCACTTAGCCATAATTTCACATCATGTGTGTCACAACTTCTGTGAGCTTCCTGTCCTGTATTTAAGCCACTGAGATAAATACAGGACCTTGGTCTCAAGAATTATCTGTGCAAGTTGTTTTCTTCTCACCACCTGCAACCTCCAATCAGGGCATCTGAGGCAGAGGCTAGGGACATGCTGATTGTGTCACAAAGAATGATCTCAGAAGAAGGAAAAGCAGCAGACACAAAGAAACCCAGCATCAGAGGCACATTCTTGAAAGTAAAGGTCACTTAAAGAGGGAAAATTTTTTAAAACGTGCAGTGTATCTGGAGAATATTCCTTAATTATGACTGTCTTTTTAAGGTTGGGCAACATACTGAGACTCTATTTCTAAAAAAAAAATAGAAGAAAACTTTTCTGATTAGCCTGGCACGGTGGCACATACCTGCAGTCCGTTACTTGGGAGGCTGAGGAAAGAGATCGCTTGAGCCCAGGATAAGACTGCAGTGAGCCATGATTACACCACTGTACTCCAGCCTGGGTGACAGAGTGAGACTCTGTCTTAAATAAAAATTTTAAAAAGGGCTGGGCACTATGGCTTACGCCTGAGGTCGGGAGTTCAAGACCAGCCTGACCAACATGGAGAAACCCCATCTCTACTAAAAATACAAAATTAGCTGGGCATAGTGGCACATGCCTGTAATCCCAGCTACTCAGGAGCCTGAGGCAGGAGAATCGCTTGAATGCGGGAGGTGGATGGAGGTTGCAGTGAGCTGAGATGGTGCCACTGCACTCCAGCCTGAGGGAAACCGTCTCAAAAAAACAAAAAAAGACTTTCTTTTTAGTCTTATAATGTCAAGATGCCCACAGACTTTAGAGAATATCACATGCTTTCATTTGCTAATCTGTCCAACAGTATCATGTCCCCTCTCACTGCAAATGTGTTGGAGACAATGAACAAGAGATCGTCAATGGGCTGACACCAAGGAGAAGGAAAAGAGCCCCCAGAAGCTCTGGGGCATTTAACCCAACAAGCTGCTCTGAACAGTGAATGTTTTCCTGCTGGTGTCAATGACTTGGAAAGTCAATTCCATCCAGGTAGCCTTTTTCATCAGTTATGATACTCTGAATTCATCTTCTTTTCACACCTGCAGCTTAGAGAAAATTCTGTGAATCAGTCTGTCACCCACTTGCCTGCACATGTCTCCAACAGGCACAGATGTGGCTGCGGCCAGCCAACCTACAGCAAACCCAGAGATTCATTTTAGGGGAAAGTGCTCCTAAGAGAATATCAAAATCTGGGCACACCTAAGGGAGACCTGCAGACCTCTGTCTTCATGAGCCTGGCACCTCTTATGGGAAACAGAGAGCAGGGAAAAGAAGACTGTTCTCCAACTCTGCAGGCTGTTTGTCCATTCTCCCACACTCCTGGAGGGAGGGCCCAGTACACACAGCTCACCAAGTGCTTGTAGAATTCCCAGGAAAGAAGATAGTCAGTGAGGAGGGCCCAGCTCCGACCTTGCCCCACAGCACAGAAGCGTCCAGTCAGAAATGGCTCCCCTTCAGGACTGTGCAGGGGCCTGTGGTGCCCCAGCTCCCAGGGTAGGGAAGTTAGGCACCTCAGGTGTGCCCTCAGCCTCCCATGCCCTTCACCTGGGGCACAGTGAAAGGCCTCTGCTTGATCAGCGATGGACAGTTTTTTTGCACAGTTTCTAAGTGTGTGCATCCAGGTGTGGTGGCTCACACTTGTAATTCCAGCACTTTGGGAGGCTGAGGTGGGCAGTCAGGAGTTTAAGACCAGCCTATCCAACATGGTAAAACCCTGCCTCTACTAAAAATGCAAAAAAATTAGCCAGGTGTGGTGGTGCACACCTGCAGTCCCACCTATTTAGGAGGCTGAGGCACAAGAATCGCTTGAACCCAGGTGGCAGAGGTTGCAACTAGCCGAGATCACGCCACTGCACTTCAGCCTGGGCGACAGAGCAAGACTCTGTCTCAATTAAAAATTAAATTAAATTAAAAATAAACAAAAATAAATAAATAAATATGTGCAACCCCCTGAGCTTCAGCCACTGCAAGTTCAAATGTCATCTGCTCTGCCTAGCTAGTGGGGAAGTGGAGGGGGATGGTGCAGACCTTGGCTCGCCCGCCACACCCAGTGTGGTTCTGCAAGTTCTATTCTATACAGTGCATCCATAACTCATTCTCCTGAGCCAAAGCACGAAGAATGAACTCTTCAGAGACTTTCTACAATTTGCGTTAGTATTTTTCAAAATTATTCCTAGATGAGACACAACTTTATTACCAGCTCTAGCTGCCCTTTCGAATTCTAATATTGTCATATTCTGTGCATCCCATGAGATGCACAAAGATATTACCTTTCCTGACAAAGATATTTACCTTAGATGTGTGTAACTTCCAGGAGTCTAAAATATGATCATAAAGCTATTAGCTAACGCAGGGGCTTTTAGCTTCTTCAAAGCAGAATTCACATCATTAATAAGTCTTTTAGAATATTCATCTTTGCATAACTTTTCTTTATCCCCCTATGTGTGGAGAACTTATAGACTATATCTTGTATCCATCGGCGACCCACAGAAATGAGGCCTATGTGACATTTTGTTAGCCCCATTAGATGGAGGGGGAGAAAAAGCAAGTTAATATTCTTAGAAGGCATGTAATGGTCTAAAGCTTTGGCTAGGCGCAGTGCCTCACATCTGTAATCCCAGCACTTTGGGAGGCCGAGGCGGGCGGATCACGAGGTCAAGAGATCAAAACCATCCTGCCAACATAGTGAAACCCTGTCTCAACTAAAAATACAAAAATTAGCTGGGCATGGTGGCACACACCTGTAATCCCAGCTACTCAGGAGGTTGAGGCAGGAGAATCACTTGAACCCGGGAGGCAGAGGTTGCAGTGAGCTGAGATCACACCATTGCACTCCAGCCTGGGAGACAGAGCAAGACTCCGTCTCAAATATAAAAATAACAATTTAAAAAAATAGTCCAAAGCTTTTCCTTCTGAAGCCTTGCCCTTAGCAAGAGGAAAGTCAGGCTCCTTACTGTCTTCTCATAGGGCTCACTGCTGCCTTGAGAGGCCAGAAGACTGTTGCTCTTCTAGAAACCCACCCTGAGAGGTCCCTCTCAGATTCAGGGTTGGTCTAGACAGTGGCTCTGAAACTTGAGCACCTGTCAGAACCATCCAGAGGGCTTGCTTTTTGAAACACAGATTACTGGGCCCTGCCAGAATTTCTGGTTCTGTAGGTCTGGGTCCTGAGAATCTGCATTTCTAACCAGTTTCTAGGGACGCTGATGCCGCTGGTTTGGGGACCATACTCTAGAACCACTGAGGCACTGTTTTAGGACACTCTAAGGGAGCCAATATACAAAGGCTCCTACCGGTCTCCAAGCCCAGCTGCTCCTCAGGTCTATGGCCCTCAGACCCCAGCTGGAATGCACTGAGCACCTGCTCCTTAGGAACTCAACTTTCCCAAGACCTCAAGCCAACTGCTGTCCATGAGGCTTCTCCCTTACCGCAAGAACAGGTCCTCACTGCCACCCCCCCCCCACCCGGTTTTCCCCCTACTGAGATCAGCAACGTAATTTGTGAGACCCAGTGTAAAATGAAACCGTGGGGCCTCTCTTTGAAAAATTAAGAGTTTCAATACAGCGACAGTGGAGCATTAGAGCAAGCATGGGCCCTTCTCCCCAGGGCTTGGCCCCTGGGCGTCTGCAATTCAGAGCAGTGAGTGCTGATTCTTTCTGGGCCCCAGCCTCCTGTCTCCCTCAGGTTTTCTTTTCTGTTTTTGTTGTTTTTCAGACGGAGTCTCACACTGTCGCCCGGGCAGGAATGCAGTGGCACGATCTCGGCTCACTGCAACCTCTGCCTCCCAGGTTCAAGCGATTCTCTGCCTCAGCCGCCCGAGTAGCTGGGATTGCAGGTGCCCACCACCACACCTGGCTAATTTTTGTATTTTTAGTAGAGATGGGGTTTCACCATGTTGGCCAGGCTAGTTTCAAACTCCTGACCTCAAGTAATCCGCCCCACCTTGGCCTCCCAAAGTGCTGGAATTACAGACGTGAGCCACCGTGCCTGACCTCCCTCAGGTTTTCATATAAGAATCCATCCTCCCTCTGCGTCAAGCCCCTCCTTGACTCTATAACTTCTGCCCCTCAAGAAAAGGGTATTGGTATGATATGTTTGGAGGAAATGTTAAATACCTGTTAAATGCAGCAATTTCACTGAAAGAGATTTATTCTTCAGTGGATAGATTCCCTGAAGTGCTCTCCCAGTGCTCAAAGCCTATTCACTGTTACAGTGCTTGTAATAAGAAAAAATCAAAATAACAACAGCTTAACTGTCTCTTAATAGTAAAGAATGAGGCAGATTTATAGGTAATAATAAGGAAGTATAGCAATATCTAGTAAGTATCAAAGGCAAGTTGAAAACGTTGAGGCGTGTGTGTGTGTGTACATGAACAGAAAAACAATTCAGGAAACCTGAACAAAAAATTGTTAGCCATCGCCACTGGGAATTTTCACTTTACAGTTTATGCACTCTACGTTTTTAAAATTCTTATTACCTCATATTATTTCTGAGTATGTGTAGAATTAAAAAATATTTCAGATCTTAACCAAAGCTGTTTTCATCCAGAAACATCGGCCAGCAGTGAGGGCTGCCCCAAACCCCTACCCTGTTCCTTCACCCCTTCCCCTCTTACCCCATCAGGGTCTCATTCCTGACATTTTCCACCCCTGCTGCCACAAAGCCTCTCGAGTACCTGATCTAAGCCTGAGTGCAGATGAATTTGTTGCATCTGAAATATGTTGTTCTCCCCAGAAATCGGCTATGAAAATCTAATTAAAAAATAGAAAGGAGGAGAAGCATTTATGAAATTT